ACAGCTACTGACATTTAATCATCAAATTAATGAAATTCTCTGTCAATTCAGCATAGCATCTTAAATGTAAGGTTATAGTTGACCTCAGATATTGTCTTAAATAACTTGAGTAGTTGCATTTTTATGAATTTTTAAATTTTGATTAACAACCAAGAATAGATACAAGCCTCAATATTAACATCCAATGTTATAACATCATAGGCATCTGATTACACATACAAATTTGTCCAAACAAATCCTTATACACAAAATCCAGAACTATGTTTGACAAACTTCATCTATTCTCCTTGTTCTAATTATTCTTTTTATATCGTATTATAACAATAAATGCAATAATAATGACCTATGCATTTTAACCTTTTCAAAAATGTTGAATAGCAGAAAAATCTGCTGACAGTTCACTTTAAAAGCATGTAACCTGATAATCACATACAGTAATTTAGAGTGGTAACAAATCTACTAAAATATTCTCTAAAAAAAGCATCCATACACTCAGCTAAATAAATTGGAACAATTACATACTTTCTACTTAGATCTGCCTCAATTCGTGTTTATTCAGATTTTCCTCTAAGTTACAAGATCAATAATATGATCTCAGTGCTGTTTTTTTAGAGAAGTCTATCAATAAACTCGACAATAATTCTAGTTTTATCAAACAGCAGAAACTAATTTCTTGGCTTCATCCGAAAGCATATAATGTGAATATTTTCTTACTATAATGTTTGAAATTTAAATGATAAGAGACTATTTCAGGATCAAATAATATGCTAAATATCTTTTGATATCATCAATATTAAAAAATTTCACCAGGTGGAGTGGCATAAACTTGTAATCCCAGTGACTCAGGAGAGTGAGGCAGGAAGATCTCAAGTTCAAAGCCAGCCTCAGCAATTTATTGAGGCCCTAAACAACTTACTGAGACCCTGTCTCAAAATAAAAGGAAAAATTTTTAAAAAGGGGGAGTGGGTGAGTATATGGCTCAGTAGTTAAGTGTAATCTTTGTTCCAAAAAAAAAAAAACCTCAATTCATGATGAAACCATAATAAATGGGAGCCTAAAATTAACTGAATATTTTTCATCATTTCTTTAAAAAAAAAAAAAAAAAAAAAAAGTTGGTGGGGAGTCTGAAGATGTAACTCTGGTAAAGCCAGCTGCTCAAGCAGAAGGATGGCAAATTAGAAGCCAGTCTGAGCAATATATTGAGGCCCTGTCTCAAAATAAAATAAAAAGGGTGGGGGTGTAGCTCAGTGGTAGAGTGCGAGGATGGTAGGCACGAAGCCCTAGTTTTAATCCCTAGTACTGCCAAACAAAAAACAAAAAAAAAAAAAAAAAAAAAGGGAAAAAGAAGAACATGGTACAAAGTATCCAAATACATTCACTAATATCTTGGCTAATTCATACATTTCAAAAATATGTATTAAGATGTGTATGACACAGCTCTTGTCCAAGACATTAAAAAAAAAAAGACAATAAAATGCGGTAGACTGCTTATAAGATTTCCTTAGAGAGTACAAATAATGTCCTGAAGTTCAAAAGTCAAAAACCAAAGCTTACACAGAAATTAATTTTAAAGTCAAAAACTACATCAAAAAAATGAAGAAAACAAAAACATTCATAAGCATTATTTACTACCCCTGAACTAGAAAAAACAGAAAAATTATACACAAAAACATTTAAATTATTAAAAAAAAAAAAAAGATTAGATTAGATTTGTATTTATGGTAATTTGATCATTGAAAGATCTTGGCATGGAAGTTTTCTTTTAAATCAATACAAAGAACATGCCAGTCAAAAGCAAAACTTTGACTAAGATCCATAAAAGAGACTACTAATTTAATCCAATAGAGTTCTCTCGTGGTTCTACTACGGGAAAGATTTCCTATCTTTTCTAAGATATGCCCTACAAAAACTACTAAAATTTGGTTTCAGGTATGAAGAAAAAAAAAAGGCAGGTGAAATGCAAGTAGAATACCTTTTATCCCTATGAGGAGAGTATAATCATTTTAGTAAACAAAAGAAAATACAGTTTATATCACTGCTACTTATAGTAGACAAGAAATCTATACTACACATTTCTCCTCACTGAGTAAATAAAAATATAAATGATCCAAAACTAATTGTTATATTTCCAAATAAGGTTAAATGGCCTGTAAAATATCTGTGGCACTATGCAAGAAAATAATGTTGATATTTAACAACATTATAGCAAAAGTAAAGATAACAGGATTTGACAGAAAAGTAAAATAAAAAATCTATATCACAATAATCCCATTTTAAACTACTTCAAGTATGAGTCAGTATTCTTCCTTCATTCACAAAATGTTCTGGAGAACTATTTTAAAAAAAAAATAATTTGTACATGGAGATGTTTATCTGAAGTTAGAGCCTCAAGTTCTGATACCAAATACTTTTACAATTATGACCATAATGGAACTGATACTTGATAGGCAGCTTCACAAAGATGCATGTTGTATAAGGACTCACTCACTGAGCTAAACCCTTAGCTCTAAAATCATTCGTGTGGTGTGTTGTTATTATTTTTTTAATAAAAATATTCTGTCCTTTGAGTTAAGGTACAAAGTCAGGTTCTGATACAAACTTTTATACACTTGTAACTAAAACAGAACTATCATTCAATAGGCAGTTTTACAGAAATTTATTACATGAAGAATAAACATTCTTTATACGTATAGGTTCTAAGGAAAATAAAAAAATGCTTCAAGGGAAGAAAGGAAGGAAGAAGGAAGGGAGGGAAAAAAGAAAAAGGAAGAAAGAAGGGCTGGGAATGTAGCTCATTAATAAAGTATGTAATTAACACGAGCAAGGCCCTGGGTTTGATCCCTAGCACCTCATTCACTCATTCATTTATTCAATCAATAAAGGTAAGCTCTTGAACTCAGAATAAATACATGATTATAAAATTTTCATTCTGTAGTCTGATAAATCATAAACTACTGGTAATGAATATCTGTGTTCTTACAATCTTTCAGATAGCTTTAACTATATTTCTATTAAGCACAAACTTATGAATCATAGAAATAAAACTGTATGACCTTTTATTTCCTTTTATCAAGGAAAATAAAACTATGTTTGGGACAAAAATAAGAACAGGTTTAGAAACTATGTTTAGCAAACAAGCATTCAATCTTTGATTCTATTTCTCAGCTCAATACTATCCAGAAGATACTGACAGTAATATTCATAGACACAATATCATATGGTAAGTGACAAGTGAAAAATGGCTTTTGTCATTATAGAAGTCTACTTTTCTAAAGTAATGATAAAACTATTTACTGAAGGAAAAAAAAAAAAACACAAATGCATTACAAACAGAGAAAGATTTAAAATACAGAGGTAAAAAGGAAATCAGAAATCATTTAGTCACCCTGGGTTTCAGACTGTGGAATCTAAAGTAGGCTATAGAGGATGAAGAATGACTCAAAATTGTAAAAATTTTATATACAGATGTTTTTATGAAAAGCTATCTTTATAGCTTTCAATAAATTCCCCAAGAGATTTGTGACTTGAATCTTCTGTATAACTCTGGATTAGGTACCTCTCTAAAATTAGAGGTCTGTAGCATCATTAGTGTTCAGTAATATGTCCGTCTCACTCCCACTGCCAAATTGTAGAAAATGTTAGAGCAGAAAGCATCTCAGCTTTGTTCATGACTATAGATCCATTATTCTGCCTACAGATCCATTATTATATGCCTGACAGATAATATGTGCTCACTTGCACAAATAAATTCTTAAATAAAACAATGAATCAACTACTTAAAATTGGTCTAAATTAAAAAATGCTTTGTAGATATATAGTCCAACTATATAACCTTAGTCAATAAGAATTTATAATGGAATTAAAACAGTTTGAAGCAAACCTTTCCAGAATATATTGAGTATCTATTAAGTTATGGAGCACATCCTCTATAAAACTTATCTGTAGTCACTTTGTACAGGTTTGGATAGGTTTTCCAGAATCTAGAAACTTCTACAACAATGGATGTCTGCTTGATTCACTTTTAATTAATTATTTATGTGTGTGTGTGTGTGTGTGTATTTTATATATATATATATATATATATATATATATATATATATATATATATATATATATAAACACTGACGTGATTTCACATAAAATATCTAAAACATAAAATATCCATGTGTAAATTCAAAATCAAATTGTTTCTTAAAGGTATTTTCAAAGTAAAAATATAAAAGAAAAACTGGGTCTTTCTAATCACCACATGGTATTTCTGACAATATGAAAAACAGACTGCAAATCAAAAATGAATCTTAAAGCAGAGTGCAGTGGTGCATGCCTATAATCCCAGCAACTTGGGAAGGAAGCTAGGGAAGAGCACACTGCAAGTTCATGGTCAGCTTCAGCAACTGAGTGAGACTTCTGTCTTAAAATAAAAAGGGCTGGGATGTAGCTCAGAGGTGGAGTATCCCTAGGTTCAATCCCTAGTATTGCCAAGGGGGGAAAAAAAACTTTACACAATTATTTGATTTAAAACTCATTAAAAGCCAGGAACACTGATGCATAACTGTAATCTCACAATGTGGGAAGCCTGAGGCAAGAGGATTAAAAATTCAAGGCCAGCCTGGGCAACTTCAGTGATAAATAAAAAGGGCTGGGAATATAGCTCAATGATAGAGGATCCCTGAATTCAATAGTAACACAACAAACAAAACCAACAACAAAAAACTATTATAAAGCTTTTAAAAAATTAACTTAATTTTAAACATACTGGTATTCACCTCTCTACCTTCATGTACTATCTTGACATGAAGCATTTCAATATTTTCAAAATGTTATTTTCATAGTTGTGACTGGTCTTGTAGTTATTGATAATAAAAGAAAAAAATACACATTTTACTCTGAATACATCAATACACATGTTACTCTGAATACATTCACACTTTGAACATTAGATGCTAATATTTATACTTTAATGTTTTCTAACATTATTTCTAATGGCTTAATAAACATACCGAAAACTGTGAATGCCCTGAAGTTCCTGCTGTAGAACCTCCTGTGTTGTTGCTATTAAGTCCAATGCTCCAACAAATTCAGAAGTAGATAATAACACCTGCACTGTAGGCTGAGTTTGGTGTACAGTGGCCATTAACTTCAGTTTATTGTATATTTTAACACAATTATTTCTGGTAAGTGCCAGTCTTAAAATGTGTAGTGATCCTTCACACATTACTTTATCAATCTGTGCAATTTTATCTCGAAGCATTTTTACAGCTTGGGAAGTTTTCTTGAGGTAGTCCTGCAATTCATGTTGAGAGGTCATTGCATGAAAAAATGCTTCTGAACGTAGAGAGATCTGTTGAGCAATGTTTACTTCCACAATGTCCAGATAATGGCTCAGCTTTTAAAAGGGAAGGAAAAAAAAATTATGGAGAATTACAAGTATCCAAATATTTTCTGAAAATGAAAATAATAAAAGTCTTCTACATGTATTTTCAATTGCATGGTGTGAATTATTTGATTATGGGATCCTTGGAATCAGGGGCAACATGACAGAGAGATGAAAGGTGCAGCCCAAAGAATAATAAATTAACTATTAAAGAGCAGGTTATTGACCTTTCTCTGCTCCTGCCAAACACAACCAACCAAACACTCTAAAGGAAAAGAGTACCCCAAAGCTATAATTATAATTAAGGTTATAATTCTAAGGTTATAATTCTTATTATAAATAAGGTTGTAATTCTAGATTTAGAAGTTGTAAAATCTGAAAGTGATCTTCACAAATATCACACATATCTAAGTAGATGACTATAGTTTCATTGACTGACTTTCTTCTGTGTATTAGGAACAGGTATTTTGTATGTATCTAGTTTTTCTAATTTGAATAACCTTTGGATACAAGTATAATTATTATTTTGCAGATGAGGAAACCCAGAGACATTAAATGACTTAAATTAAATTGTGTAATTAGCAAGTGGCAAAACAAATAATCTGTCAGACTCAAAAACTGAAGCCCTTTCTACTATATTATGCTGCCTTGGAATGCTAAATAATCCATGAAAGACAGACTGGCAGTTCAGACACAAATTATAGGAAACACCAGAATTTGCTTGGATCTTTTCCTTTTTTTCTCCTCACATTTTTTAATCGATGCATTCTAGTTGTATATACTAATGAGATTTGTTACACATTCATACATGCACACAACATAATTACATAATTGGGCCAATATCACTACCTGGATTTTTTTCCAAGGCTGCTTATTTACATTTCAAAAATGATTATTTTATCCATTTATAAATTTTTTGTTTTCAATACACTGTTCTCCTAAAAGATTAACAAATTTCCTTAAACACTTAGCTCATGCATATTTAACACTATGATTCTTATAGTTATATATTAAACATGCTTTATAAATTTCAAATATAGACTTCTAAAACTTAATTTGTCCTTTCTTGCTTTCTAGCTGCATACACCTTTGGGGACTATATTATTCCATCCCTTCCATTTTTTTAACTTTTAGTTTTTTTAATCTACGCTCAGACTCTAGGCACTATCTCTGAATATCTCTTAGCATTAAAGGGTTGATCGACTCCAACATTTAGGATTTAAATGATTAGAAGAGATTATTTAATCATTAAGACTGTTTCCTTAAAACAGTATCACTTATATCTTCAATAACATTCTTTTAGTAATTTATTATAACATACAATAGATCACAAACAAAAAAATTTCTAGAGATTATGTCTTGGGTTTATACTCTTTGACTCTTGTTGTTTTCATCTCCAATAGAGCTGTTCATTTATTTACCTAAAAAAGCATCATGAACACAAATGTAGAAGGGTAGAGTACAAATTCAAGTGGACACAAGTTTCATAAAAGTAAATGAAAAATGGATAGCCCATTTAGGACATTGCTACTCAGATTGTAGTTTATAAGTGGCTGCCAATCTTAGACTGTTTCATAGGTCCATGATAAAATAAGGAATTTTGCCAGAATGGAAACAGACTGTATCAGTAAGCACTCCTCCTCCTCCTCCTCCTCCTCCTCATCATCATCATCATCATCATCGATGTGCTAGGGCTTGAACTGGGGACCTCACACATACTAGGCAAGTGCTCTACCACAGAACTGCATTCCCAGTCCTTTTTTTCCCCTTCTTTTTCCTGCTTAATAGGAAGATTCTTAATGAAAGAAACTATGTGATTTGCATTCTGGTAAAAACCCCTTATCTCATCACAGGCCAGCACTTTGGGTAGCATAATATAGAATCCAGATTTCTTTAATTCTGGTTGTAGCATCTCTTCTCTAAATCTAGCAAGATAAATCAACTGTTGTCCATAATAGGAGCTTGAAAAGCTGTTTTAGAATTGTCTTCCACTCCCAACAACAGAGCAGAATGAAAAGGAGTCAGAATGTAAATACTGCAAACCTGATTGTGTGATGTACAAATTTTAAAATTTTTTCCATTACTTTAGCCATTTTAAATATTCAGGATGAAAAAATTATTTAATTTCAATTTCAAATGCTTTTGGAAATCCACTGATCTACTCTTTTCAAAGGCACAATTTTTTCATAAATATTATGAACTGTAAATATCTATGAAATACAAATATTTCAACAAATGCCATAAAAGAAACAATGTTTAAAATATTCCTAAAAGTATCTGTGTAGATAGACAACATTTTTATTGGCTTTTGTTATTGTTGTTAAGGTATTATTCTAACAGGTAACAGACTTTGGATTGTGAAAATGCAGTCTAAGAGCAAGCTTGTATCAATAATTCCTGCACTTTGATCCAATTTATGAATTTGTTCTTACACAAGGAAAATCTCTTTATAGATGAAAATGTTGCCAAAGAAAAACTGAGTTCATTTTCATTTTTAAATGTGAAAAAAGGAGTATTCATGATTCTTTTTTTTTTTTTAACGTTTTAATTTTTAGTTTTAGGTAGACACAATATATTTATTTTATTTTTATGTGGTGCTGAGGATTGAACCCAGTGCCTCATGCATGCTAGGCAAGCACTCTACCTCTGAGCCACAACCCCAGCCCTCATGATTCTTTTCCAATATCTCTTTTGTTCTCCTCCCTAAGTTAAAAGTCTTCAGTTACTGAGGAGGACTGGACCTAATTTACGAACAACCTCCCTAAGAAAAGCTTTCAGATTGCCAAGCAACGTCACTATAGTGAAACAAAGTAGTTTCTCATTTTAATAATCAGTCAGTTCAAGAAAGGCTCTAAACCAAGTGGTAGGAAAGAAGAGAGATCTAAAGTTTTTACCATAATTCAAATTTTAGAAATTCTTAATAGATTATGCTTAAAGTTCTAACTTTTAAATGACTTTCAAGATGTTGACTTCTGAAATATAGAACACTAAAAAATTTAAAAACCTATTGACTACTAATATGCGAAAAGCAAGGCTTTTGTAAAGCTAAAATTACAATAGGAATATTGTATTTTTTAACCTAAGACATCTTGCTTCAAAATAATCATCCTTATGATGAAAATGAGGAAAAAAAAATAGTACCTCAGGAAAAGTTTGGTTTCTGTACTTTAAATCATTCTGATAAAATTAGCTGATATATAACAATCATTTGGGATAAATGCAAGCAATTTCCTTCATTGTGTCATCTAATATATCTTTTCCATTAAAATCCATCAACTGCTATTTCTGATGAAAAGCAAATAGTAAAGTCTCTCCTTTTCCACAAGCATAACTTTTATTCCATTGAACCAAAATGTTATTATCAGTTAAGACAAAAAGGCTTATGTTGTCAGGAACAACAAAAATGAACTTGCCTAATTGATGCAAGGTCCTAGGTTTGACCCCTAGTACTACAGATACAGAGAGAACTTAAAAGAAGTAGAGCTTACTAAGTAACTAAATCTGAATTCACTAACAGTATCACTTACCCAGAATGAAGTTTTCTATATGGAAAAAGAGAAATTACCTTTTCTTGAAGCAACTTTGAGGAAGCTGCATCACGATTTCCTTTTCCACCAGCAGTATTAAAATGAGACCATGGTAAAACTGAATTAAAAGTTAAGGAATCGTCCAAGGCAAAATCTGGTTTCATAAAAATCTATTGAAAGAATAAATTTTCCTCAATTAGATGAACATTTTCTTTATTATCCCTTCTAATAATACAAGACCATCAAGCAAAAATCAACTTGAGCATGAACAGAAAAAGCAAGTGATAATAGACTGAATTATTTATCCCAAAATCTGGATCAGAATTTTATATACACAATGTTTCAACAAGCTTAAAATGCTCATCAAAGGTAATGCTTGTTTGTTTGCCTTTACCAATGGGGATAGTCATTTCATTACTACATGATCAAACTCACTAATGTAGTCCCACTAGGGACATAACAAAGGGAAATACTATACCTAAAATGTCTGTGTCATTTCCCTCAATAGTTTTTTTTTTTTTAATGTTAAATATCCATTTCTCTAATTTTTTTCAACTCCTCAAATTTTATTTCTATTTTCTCCTATGCAAATTTGTTTTTCAAAATTAGTTTTTAGAATAAACACACTCGAATTTAAAACTAAAATTCAATTTTACAAAGACTGTTCTTCCTTTCCATACCATATCCAGCTAGTCAATAGGACTTATCAATTGTATTTCCTAAATATTCCATGAAACGCCTCTCTCCTCTGTCTCCTTAGCATATATAAATTTACCTTTTCATAATCTCTAGTTTACAGTAAGTAGTTATGTTACTGATGTTCCTCCCTTATCTATCCCCTGTATTACTCTTTTAAAATGTCAAGTATAATTTTATCAACTTCCCGCCTAAAACTCTCAGTGGATTCCCATGACCTGCAGACCAATTAAGAATGGTATCCAAACTTCATCTTTAAAAAAAAAAAACACAATCCCAAATAATTCTGTGGGTCTTGTCAGTTCCTTTTACTACTTACACATTTTTATCTTCTTATGTTTAAGTATCTTTGTGCTTCCTTTGGCTTAGAATGCCTCTTTTTGCCTATCTCCCTGGAGAACATGAACCAATCAAAAGACCAAATATATCTGTATATGACACAGATTAATCACCCTCACCTCTGAACACAGGATAAACATGTATACAATGTAAAATTTTCTAAGAGTAAATTTTCTAATCCATGCTTTAATATTATAATTAAAAGGACTGATTAGACAGGAGGAAACAAAGATAAATTACAACACAGGTCCTCATCTCAAGGATATTCGGTCCAAAGAATGTGATAAAATATATATACAATTGACCCTCTATATCCTTGGGTACCAGATGAACAGATTCAACAAAATGAAGATCAAAAATAGAAAGAGAAAACTTCATCTATACTGAACATTTACGACTTTTTTCTCTGTCATTATTCTCTAAACAATAAAACATAACTATTTATACTGTATTGGGTATTATAAGTAATCTATAGATGATTTAAAGATTACAGGAGGATATATGTTGGTTATACATTTGTCTCCTTAAGGGACAAATATATAAAAATCCCACAAGGAGAAGAATATCTAGGGAAGTAGATATCTTGGATAAAATGTTATGGGAATTTGGCAAAGGGATCAATTATTTTCAGTTGGGAAGAAAAATAAAGTACATAGGCAAAGGTGCCATTTTAGTAGAAAACTGTAAAGGAGTAGGTAGGGGAAGATGAGGAAAAAATCTTCCAGACTGAGGGAACAGTGCAAGTAAAACATGAAGCAAGGAAAAAACAGTTTGGCTGAAGAAAAAAAAAATGATAAAAATTGGCAGGCAAAAGTTAGAAGCTGACTAATGGAAGCAAATCACGAAGGCTTTTAAATGACAGAATATTGATTTTATTTTACAGGAGTCAAAGAACTTTAAAAATTATCACCCTAGATCTTCCAAACAAAAGTTGAATAAGGAAACTATAAAACTCAATAACACAATTAATAACCTAGACTTAATTGACATATATAGAATATACCACCCAACATCAAGCAGTTACACTTTTTTCTCAGCAGCACATGGATCCTTCTCAAAAATGGATCATATATTATGTCACAGGGCAACTCTTAGACAATATAAAGGAGTAGAGATAATACCATGCATCTTATCTGATCATAATGGAATGAAACTGAAAATCAACGATAAAAGAAGGAAGGGAAAAGCATACATCACTTGGAGAATGAACAATAGGTTACTGAATGATCAATGGGTTATAGAAGACATCAAGGAGGAAATTAAAAAATTCTTAGAGATAAATGAAAACACAGACACAACATATCGGAATCTATGGGACACATTGAAAGCAGTTCTAAGAGGAAAATTCATTGCTTGGAGTTCATTCCTTAAAAAAAGAAAAAACCAACAAATAAATGATCTCATACTTCATCTCAAAATCCTAGAAAAAGAAGAGCAAAACAACAGCAAAAGAAGTAGAAGGCAAGAAATAATTAAAATCAGAGCTGAAATTAATGAAATCGAAACAAAAGAAACAATTGAAAAAATTGACAAAACTAAAAGTTGGTTCTTTGAAAAAATAAACAAAATAGACAGACCCTTAGCCATGCTGGCGAAGAGAAGAGAGAGAACTCAAATTATTAGCATACGGGATGAAAAAGGCAATATCACAACAGACACTTTAGAAATACAGAAGATAATCAAAAATTATTTTGAATCCTTATACTCCAATAAATTAGAAGATAGTGAAGGCATCGATAAATTTCTTAAGTCATATGATCTGCCCAGATTGAGTCAGGAGGATATAGAAAACCTAAACAGACCAATATCAATTGAGGAAATAGAAGAAACCATCAAAAGACTACCAACTAAGAAAAGCCCAGGACCGGATGGGTATACAGCAGAGTTTTACAAAACCTTTAAAGAGGAACTAATACCAATACTTTTCAAGCTACTTCAGGAAATAGAAAAAGAGGGAGAACTTCCAAATTCATTCTACGAGGCCAACATCACCCTGATACCTAAACCAGACAAAGACACTTCAAAGAAAGCAAACTACAGACCAATATCTCTAATGAACCTAGATGCAAAAATCCTCAATAAAATTCTGGCGAATCGGATACAAAAACATATCAAAAAAATTGTGCACCATGATCAAGTAGGATTCATCCCTGGGATACAAGGCTGGTTCAATATACGGAAATCAATAAATGTTATTCACCACATCAATAGACTTAAAAATAAGAACCATATGATCATCTCGATAGATGCGGAAAAAGCATTCGACAAAGTACAGCATCCCTTTATGTTCAAAACTCTAGAAAAACTAGGGATAACAGGAACATGCCTCAATATTGTAAAAGCAATTTATGCTAAGCCTCAGGTTAGCATCATTCTGAATGGAGAAAAATTGAAGGCATTCCCTCTAAAATCTGGAACAAGACAGGGATGCCCTCTCTCTCCACTTCTGTTCAACATAGTTCTCGAAACATTGGCCAGAGCAATTAGACAGACGAAAGAAATTAAAGGCATAAAAATAGGAAAAGAAGAACTTAAATTATCACTATTTGCAGGTGACATGATTCTATACCTAGCAGACCCAAAAGGGTCTACAAAGAAACTATTAGAGCTAATAAATGAATTCAGCAAAGTGGCAGGATATAAAATCAACACGCATAAATCAAAGGCATTCCTGTATATCAGCGACAAATCCTCAGAAATGGAAATGAGGACAACCACTCCATTCACAATATCTTCAAAAAAAATAAAATACTTGGATATCAACCTAACAAAAGAGGTGAAAGACTTATACAATGAAAATTACAGAACCCTAAAGAGAGAAATAGAAGAAGATCTTAGAAGATGGAAAAATATACCCTGTTCATGGATAGGCAGAACTAACATCATCAAAATGGCGATATTACCAAAAGTTCTCTATAGGTTTAATGCAATGCCAATCAAAATCCCAACGGCATTTCTTGTAGAAATAGAGAAAGCAATCATGAAATTCATATGGAAAAATAAAAGACCCAGAATAGCAAAAACAATGCTAAGCAGGAAGTGTGAATCAGGTGGTATAGCGATACCAGACTTCAAACTATACTACAGAGCAATAGTAACAAAAACAGCATGGTACTGGTACCAAAACAGGCGGGTGGACCAATGGTACAGAATAGAGGACACAGAAACCAATCCACAAAACTACAACTATCTTATATTTGATAAAGGGGCTAAAAGCATGCAATGGAGGAAGGATAGCATCTTCAACAAATGGTGCTGGGAAAACTGGAAATCCATATGCAACAAAATGAAACTGAATCCCTTTCTCTCGCCATGCACAAAAGTTAATTCAAAATGGATCAAGTAGCTTGATATCAAATCAGAGACACGCCGTCTGATAGAAGAAAAAGTTGGCTACGATCTACATACGGTGGGGTCGGGCTCCAAATTCCTCAATAGGACACCCATAGCACAAAAGTTAATAACTAGAATCAACAAATGGGACTTACTCAAACTAAAAAGTTTTTTCTCAGCAAAAGAAACAATAAGAGAGGTAAATAGGGAGCCTACACCCTGGGAACAAATCTTTACTCCTCACACTTCAGATAGAGCCCTAATATCCAGAGTATACAAAGAACTCAAAAAATTAGACAACAAGAAAACAAACAACCCAATCAACAAATGGGCCAAGGACCTGAACAGACACTTCTCAGAGGAAGACATACAGTCAATCAACAAGTACATGAAAAAATGCTCACCATCTCTAGCAGTCAGAGAAATGCAAATCAAAACCACCCTAAGATACCATCTCACTCCAGTAAGATTGGCAGCCATTAGGAAGTCAAACAACAACAAGTGCTGGGGAGGATGTGGGGAAAAGGGTACACTTGTACATTGCTGGTGGGACTGCAAATTGGTGCAGCCAATTTGGAAAGCAGTATGGAGATTTCTTGGAAAGCTGGGAATGGAGCCACCATTTGACCCAGCTATTCCCCTTCTCGGTCTATTCCCTAAAGACCTAAAAAGAGCATGCTACAGGGACACTGCTACATCGATGTTCATAGCAGCACAATTCACAATAGCAAGACTGTGGAACCAACCTAGATGCCCTTCAATAGACGAATGGATAAAAAAAATGTGGCATTTATACACAATGGAGTATTACTCTGCATTACAAAATGACAAAATCATAGAATTTGCAGGGAAATGGATGGCATTAGAGCAGATTATGCTAAGTGAAGCTAGCCAATCCCTAAAAAACAAATGCCAAATGTCTTCTTTGATATAAGGAGAGTAACTAAGAACAGAGTAGGGACGAAGAGCAGGAGAAGAAGATTAACATTAAACAGGGATGAGAGGTGGGAGGGAAAGGGAGAGAGAAAGGAAATTGCATGGAAATGGAAGGAGACCCTCAGGGTTATACAAAAGTACATACAAGAGGAAGTGAGGGGAAAGGGAAAAATAATACAAGGGGGAGAAATGAATGACAGTAGAGGGGGTAGAGAGAGAAGAGGGGAGGGGAGGGGAGGGGAGGGGGGATAATAGAGGATAGGAAAGGCAGCAGAACACAACAGACACTAGTATGGCAATATGTAAATCAATGGATGCGTAACTGATGTAATTCTGCAATCTGTATATGGGGTAAAAATGGGAGTTCATAACCCACTTGAATCAAAGTGTGAAATATGATATATCAAGAAATTTGTAATGTTTTGAACAACCAATAAAAAATTTAAAAAAAAATTATCACCCTATTCCTTTTTCCATTGTTCATCTTTCTTTCTTTCTTATCCATATCATATCACAGACCTCTTTGAGAATCTGATGAAAGCAATGGACTCTTCCCAGAAAATAATTCATCTATTATACAAATCTACAAAATTAATCACACCAAGAAAATCTCTTTTAATAATCTGCAGGGGTAGTAAAATAACAAAATTATTTTTCAGAATAGAGACTTGGATGTATTTATAGGTTTCACTGATTAGGTAGAAAGTCATGATGCAAAAGAGAAAAGAATACCACAAATATATACAACTTTTGTCAAATGTATTTTTCCTTTAAAAAAAAAAAAAAAGAAGGTGAGAAACAAGAAAAGTGGAGCAATAAAGCCCCAAAAGAGGCAAAGTGGTCCAACTGTCAACAGCCAAATGAAAGCTTCTTATTAGGCAAAATTAAAGACTACATGTTAAAAACAGGTACTCCCATTTTTAAGCTCTGTTACCTTAGGTACTTGCTCCAGATCTGTCCTGGATTTATCTATGGAAAAAAGGAAAAGAGAAAATATGATTTTTTAAACTTGTTTTCATTTTACCTCCATAAAATATATTTTGACAGATTCAATATTGTACTGGGCCACAAACAAATAACTACTTAAGTTTCTTCCTTCATCAAGTATCCATCAATTAATATCATCTACAAACTTATCTAAAAATGAATCTATTTTACATTCATCCAACGGATCCAATCTCAGATGAAGGACCCTTTCTTTTCTTCTTCTTCTTTTTTGTGTGTGTATGTGTGTGTCACAGATTGAACCCAGGGGCACTTAACCACTGAACTACATCCCAAGCCCATGTTATTTTTGAGACAGGGTCTTACGCTAAGTTGCTTAGGGCCTTACTAAGTTGCTAAGGCTAACGCTGAACTTGTGATCCTCCTGCCTCAGCTTCCCGAGTTGCTGGTATTACAGGTATGTGCCACAGTGACTGGCTCCTTTTCATTTCCAAAGTTAACCTTTCGGTACTTGGACTCCATCTCCTCCTGCTTTTTCTGTGAGCTTGCTTCATCAATTACCCTCCCTCCTTTCATATCTTCAACTTCTTTGCTTCTATTAATTCTTATATCTCTGTATATAAATATGCTCAGTTCTCTTCTATTAAAAAAAAAAAGATAAAAACTTAGGACTAGGACTAGGTTGAAGCAAGGGAGACAGCTAAGGTACAAAATGTAAGGAAGGATTCATGGTGGGGTTACCTAATGCCTCTCTTGCCTCCGCTAGTTCTGGCCCTAAAAACACATTCTTCCACTCTGTTCTCTCTAACCAATGCCCTATCTCAAATCTTCAAGTCATATCCCTACCAGTAGTCTGTATTTCTTTCTCTTGAATTCATTCCTTAATACGTAGTATTGAGGTTTTTGTAACCAATACTCTAGTCAAAATGTTCTCCCTAAGATCTCCTAACCGCCAAATTCTAAGAGACTTCTCAGTTCAAAATGATTATCCCTAAAGTATTCTCACACTATAGACTAATCATTCTCACTTCACTGAAACTCTATGTTTCATTTCTAAGGTATAATTCTCTTATTGATTTTCCAATCTCTTTGACCACTTTTTTGTCTCCTTCACAAGTACATTATCTACTATCTACTCCTTAAATGTGATAGCTTCATAGCATTCATCATCAGTCCTTCTCACTATTCACATCCTCTCTGGGTAATCCCATGCATGCCCTTGGATTCAACTAACATACTACTATCCAGCACACTGTCTATGATAATGTCCACCATACCTATATTTCAGCCTGCATTTTTCTTTCCTGAGCTGAAGGTTGCCAACCAGACATGTCCTTCACTGTAACTCTGCAACTAAACTCCTAGCCTCCATTTCTTTCAAAAATCTCTCTTCCTACACTGCCTCTCTTGTTAACTTGTACCACTTACCTAAACAGTTGCGCAAACAAGAAACCTGGAGCTATCATGGACATTAAAACCTATACTTAGATCTCTGAGATATCTCTCTCAAAGATCTAATCCCCTTTCCATTTCCATTGTAACTGTTACTGGGACCACATCATTTCTCATTTGTATTACCACTTAAGACTCCAACTGTCTCACTGCCTTCACTCTTATTATCATTTAAAAATTCATTAGCCACAACTGTTTTCAGTGTTAGGTATAAGTATAAATCTGACCAAGTCTGGTTAAAAATGTTTTGTAGCACTATACTGCCTTTAGAAAAAATACAATTCCTCAGCATAGCATACAATGCTCTTTTAGCCCCTGCCTATTGCTTCAGCTATATCTCTTAGTCTCAGTACAGCAAACATACTAGACTCTTGCACTCTTTGAACATGTTATGTTCTCTCAGTTCTATTGCTTTATATAAACTATTCCCTTTCCCTGAATGCTTTTTCCCCCACATAATTGTTTCACACTAACTAGTTTAAAATACAGGTAATTATCATTAACTATGCCAAGCCTTTTGAGTTAGAAATGTTATCTGCACAAACTTACCACCACACCAAACTTACTAATTAATATACAGTGCAGCAATTACTGGTTTATTTCTTTGACCTTATTCAAGAGACAATCAGCTTCTTCAGGACTGAGAATATTTCTGAACTAACCTATTTTTGAGCAACAAGCAAAATACAAAGCACCATGCTATTAAACATTTGTTACGCTCAAGAATTACATTACTGTCAGACCCATAATTTTTCTCTTGAAAGCTTTCAGAAAATAGGCTACAACATTTTACTATAAATACAAATTATAGATATGACAGCAAGGTTCCAGAATTAAGATTTTGTTCATTAATATTTATGCAATGTTTTACTATCTACAAATAATACATTTTCATACCATGAGTATGTAAAAGAGTCCTGTCAAAGGTATCTTTAGGAGGACAAATATTCTTGCATCTCTCATGTATCTTCTCTCTCTAATCAAAAGATAATAGTTAAATAAGGAATCAATGCTATGAAGAAATATGATTATCCAAAGCATCAAAATGTTTCATAACAGAATACCAAAATATAAGCAAATTAGTTCTCTAATTTTTAATACATGAAATCACAAGTGCTCTAAACTTAAATACAAATAAGTATATACCTACACTTACATAATTATAGTAAAATCTCCACATATGGAATGAAGAAAGAAAGCAAACAGAAAATGTTTATTCACATAACAGAAATCAATTAGGATAATTTGTTTTAAATCAAGGAAGAAAACCCTAAAACCTACATAAAACCAGAGAGAAAGACAGAAATTAATCACTGCCACTTTGAGTTTAAACAACAACAACAACAAAATCCACTCTGATTTAGGACTTAATGACCACATAATAACATTGTCATCTTTTCAGAGATGCCACTGAAAGGACACCTGAGAATAGCAAATATGTTGATAAAAAACCACTTGGCTACTGGTTCACTGTCAGTGACTACAGGACTCTTTTCTAAAGAGGCTGTACCATTTTGCATCCCAATTAGCAACAAATGACAGTTCATATTGTTCCATGTCCTTGCCAATATTTGGCACTGTCAGTATTTTGGATTTCTGCCATTCTAATAGATATGTAGTGACATCTTGTTTAAATTTGCAATTTGTAGATTCTGTATAAAAATATTTGATAGTGCAAAAAAAGAATCAGATAGTATATGCATTAATGCCAATAATAAGGCCATATTTAGCCTATTTCCAAACCATAAAAAGAGCAAAGTAATCAAGTAAAATAAAATCAGCATAATTCAAATTAGACTTGTAAATGAAAGAATACAAAAAAGAATACTTTTGGGCCAGGTACAATGGCACATGCCTAAATTCCAGGCTACTGGGGAGGCTCACTTGAGCCCAGTTCAAGGCTGACCTAAGAAACACAGTGAGATCCCATTTCAAAAAATTTAAAATATGTGTGTGTGTGCTGTATCACTTTGATTTTTTAAAAAGACTGAAATGGCAACTAGGATTATATTGCTAATTAGCCACTCACTAACAATCTAAAAATGAGTAATAGGCCATTTCAAACTCAGCACTACACTCAGTTTTTGTTTCAGACCAGTTTTCAAGCAACATACTGAATTATAATTATTTCTGGATATATTAAGGCAATCTGCTATTGTGATAAATGAGAGACACAGGAATGGTTCTACTCCTAATTTCTTTCCTTTTTTGGTGGTGGGGTGGGTGGTTTACAGAGAATGAACCTGGGGTACTTAATCACTGAGCTACATCCCCATCCCTTTTTACTTTTTATTTTGAAACAGGGTCTTGCTAAGTTGCTGAGGCTGGTTTTGAATTTGAGCTCCTCCTCCTCCTACCTCAGCCTCCCAAGTCTCTGGAATTATAGACATGTGCCACCACACCTGGATATTCCTATTTTCTTAAATCTCACAAATTATCTAAACTTTACAGGCCTAATAGAACCATTTTCTCCTTGGTAGACAGGGTAGGTTTCATACTGAATCTTAGCAACAACAAGAATGTGTAATTCTGAAAAATAACTACAGTAAGAGAAATGTATTAAAATATATCTAAGAAAAGAACTAAACTAACCCAGGACAGGAGGATTTATATGAATATAAAAGAATACCATCACAGGTTCAAATATTATTGGTTGAAAATTTAAAATAAATCAAACTAAAACTCTATTATTTTTTACCTGACTATAACTAATTTCAAGATTAGATATTACCTGAGAGATTTCCTGGTGATATACTGTAAAATGTTCCTTGCTGATCTGTGGGAGGTAGAATGAAGGTATGACTTCGGTGTCCACAAAGTCCAATCCCCATGTTTTTGTGAAGAAATCAGATTCTCTTTTTGCTAATCTAGGATCATTTAGTGCTGCCGGGAGATTTACTTTGGAATGATATATAGTCCATCTATTTTGATCTGTAACTAGAGATGGGGTAACACATAAACTATTTGAATCACCTGCAAAAAGTAAACAAGAGAACTCTGTAAAGTTAGTTCTATTGTTTGCGAATATATCCTAGAAAAAAGAAAATGCTTAGATTCTAGCTTGCACAAACCAACCAGATGCTTTCTTCCATGGCAAATATTAATTTTAAAAAAGTCAATCTGATTAAGTAATCTTCATCCAGAAGCAATTAATTCTCAAAAGGATGAAAAACATGAATAAGATAAAGGATATGCAAAATTTGAGGGTTGTAGTTGCCAGATGGGGGTAGGCGTAAAAAAAAAAAAATCATTAATTCCTTCCTATCATTTTTTTTTCAAAATTGAAAATACCCCATTTATTTTTTGTTTGTTTGTTTTAAGAGGCAGGGCTTTATTCTATTGTACTATGACAGGCATTCCTGGTTCAAACATCATTTATTTGATTTGTTATCAGGTGACATAATATTGCTGTGGCATTGACCATTAAAAAAAGGAAAATATAGTCAATTCCCATTATTTGCAGCAGTTTTGTTCCACAAAGTACTATGAACACCTAATTAGCAAATACTGAACCACTGCTCCTACAAAATTAAAAAGAGTTAAGTTCTTATGAGCCTCAGGTCACAACATTTTCATCAACCAATGCATAAATTAATTTTGTATATGTTTCTTTTTAAAGACTATTTTTCATTATATATCACTGATTCATTAACATTTAACTCATGGCTAATGGCACCATAACCCATAGCTGAATGAAACTTCTTCTACACATGCATTTTCTTTATAAGGTATAACACAGCCTGATTGTCTTTATGAACACTAGACAGCACTATGGTATTTGCCTGGGGGCTGATTTAACAGCAAAATCACCAAGAGAAAGCACAAAAATGCAAAACATTAAATATTGTTCTGTGTGTCCAGGCAGCTCAAATTTCTCTTTTTTTTTACCCCAACCCCAAGTATTGGGGATTGAACCTAGAGACTTGCACATGCTAGGCAAGTGCTCTACCAATGAGCTACAACCCCAAGTCTTTTTATTTTGAGACAAGGTCTCATTAAGATGCCCAGGCTGGCCTCAAACTTGTGATCCTCCTGCCTCAGCCTCCCAAGTGCTGGGATTACAGGATTACAGGCGTGTACTACTATTGTCTAGCTTCAAATTTTTCAAAGCTCTCTGCACAAGTCTGCAAAAGACCTCAAAAGTATAACTAGTATTGATTTGGGGTTTACAGATAAATTTCAGGGAGCAGAATATACAAATACAGAATCTGCAAGTAAGGAGGACAGATTGTACTGTTTTAACTAAACAACTTTCAGTCTAAACCTTCATTTTTTTAACACTTTTTCAACTTATATAGGTAACTTATTTTATGGCACTTCAAGAAAAGAACTATAATCCAATTTCATTATCAACTTATTTCCAAATTATTCATCTATCTATATTACATTTACTTTTAGTTATAGATAGACACAATGTCTTTTATTTATTTATTTTTATGTGGTGCTGAGGATCAAACCCAGGGCCTCATGCATGCAAAGCAAGCACTCTACCACTGAGCTACAACCAACCCCAGCCCTATCTTTATTTTTAACATTAAAAATTTACTCTTTTGGGTTGGGGTTGTGGCTCAATGGCAGAGCACTTGCCTTGAATGCGTGAGGCCCTGGGTTCAATCCTCAGCGCTACATAAAAATAAATGGGACAAAATATTGTGTCCATGTTTAACTAAAAAATTATTTTTTAAACAATTTACTCTTTCAGGGTAAGTTTAGGAAATATGACTGCTAATTTAAAGATAATACAAATTATCAGTAAAAAATCCTCAAAGAGGAAAAATAAAAAGCATTACCTGTGGGTTCCTTGGGACATACATCTGGCAGTGACTGCACAGGTCGAATGTGTTTTGTTGGATCTACCTCTTTTTTAAAGAAAACATCACTGCTGCTTCCTTGAGGCACTGGTGAAGAACTGTGGCTTGAAGCCATTGCATAAAATCACCACTCAACTAAAAATGAGTAAGAAACAAATAATAATTGAGACTTTATACAAACCAAAATCTGTTATTATGCATATAATAAGTTTTCTTTCAAATACAGAAACTTTTTCAAAATCCCTCAAAGTCTATATAAGCATGCAGTTTGCATACAGTGAAAGTTGTTCATAATATTTAGTTTGCTAAGGTATTAGTCCTTGTTTGAAAAAAAAAAAATTCTCACAAGTAAAACTTCCTTAGTCTTTTATCCAAATTCAAATTTACACCAATTCTATACCCAATAATATCAAAGATGAAAACACTCCATTAAGTATACAGTAATGATACATTACAGCAAAATGGTTAAGTACTTTTTAAAATATATATATATTTTTAGTTGTATATATACCTTTATTTTATTTATTTTTCTGTGGTGCTCAGGATCAAATCCAGCATCTTGCACATGCTAGGGAAGTGCTCTACTGCTGAACCACAACCCTAGCTCATACATTTTTTTTTAAGTACTATTCTTTTTTCTTTTTTGAACGGAGGATTGAACCCAGTGGCTCTCAACCACCAAGCCATGTCCCCAGACTTATTTATTTATTTATTTATTTGAGATAGGGCCTTGTTAAACTGCTGAGACTCCTCTGTATTTGTCATCCTCCTGCCTTAGCCGCCTGAGACACTGGGACTGGGATTTTAGGCATGTGCCACCACACCTAGCTCAGTGCCTAAGTTTTTGAAGTCTGCCTACCTGGGTTCATATCATTCACCAACAGGATAACCAGGAGAAATTTGACTTAACCCTTGTGTGCCTTTCCTCATCTGTGAAACGGAGGGGGAAAAGATTCCATCTCATAAACATCTTGTCAAGAAATATGGGAATGGGGGGGCTGGTGATACGCCTAAGTTGGTAGAGTGCTTGCCTCTCATGTACAAGGCCCTGGGTTCAATCCCCAGCACCACAATAAATAAATAAATAAATAAATAAATAAATAAGAAATGTGGGAATGGGTGTATAAAAAGCACTTAAAGGGGGCTGGGAATATAGCTCAGTTGGTAGAGTGCTTGTCTTGCATGCACAAGGCCCTGGGTTCAATCCCCAGCACAGCAAAAAATAAAAATATTAAAATAATACATGCCTCAAAGTTAGTGTTCACAGATGTTGGTAATTACCATTATAATTACTTTTACTATGTGACTGCCATAAAGTAATATAATGATTATAAAATCATTAGTAATTAAATTATAAAGGAAAAGAGGTAGCATTCTTCAAGGAGCTTACAATTGTATGAAGAAACCAAAATAAATATGTAAACTCATGTTTTATCTACACAAAAGTAAATTATGTTTATTTTTTAAAATAAGTTCTGAAAGAACTTGTAGGGCAAAACAACAAAATATAGGCCAGAGTCAGACTTTATAAATGAAGCAATACTGCAACTGGATAGTGAAGACACTATATTATTTTATTATTTTCTATGAAATGTTTAGAGATTGGTATAGCAAGGCCCAGAAATATAATGTACTTTAACAAGGAAGGAAGGAAGGAAGGAAGGAAGGAAGGAAGGAAGGGAGGGAGGGAGGAAAGGGAGGGGAGGGGAGGGGAGGGGAGGGGAGGGGAGGGGAGGGAGGAAGAAGGAAAGGAGGGAGGGCGGAAGGAAGGGAGGGAGGGAAGGAAGGAAGGAAGGGAGGGAGGGAGGGAGGGAGGAAAGAAGAGAGGGAAGAAAGGAGGGAGGGTGGGCAGGCCAAGTTACAATATCTGGTGAATAGAAAAAAGTAGGAAATAAGAAGTAGATACAAGTCAGGTACAGCACATGACAAATAGCTCATCTACTTTTTTTTTTGCATTTAAAAATTTTTTTTAGTTGTAGACTGACATAATACCTTTATTTTATTATTTTTATGTGATGCTGAGGATTGAACCCAGTGTTTCATTGTGCTAGGAAAGCGCTCTACCACTAAGCCACAACCCCAGCCCCTCAACTACTCTTAACTTTCCTCTAGATTGCTAAAAAATTATGTTTCTCAGACTTCCTTGAATATCTACCTCAGTACTTTCAATGCAAGAAAATAATCAACCATTCATTCTGACTATATAAAAACAGTCTGCTAAGAAAATGCAGAGACTATGGAATCTGTGAAAATAACAAGACAAAGCTAATTTGTTAGCTTTGACTGAATCCTGGTTCAAAAAGAACAAACTAGCTTTAATCCATTCTTGGGATAACTGGAAAATCTTGAATATGGACTGGATGTTAGATATTTTGAAATTATTTTTAGAGTATTAATGGTGTTGAGACTACAGGAAATGTCCTTATGCTTAGCACAAGATTAATGAAGTATTTTAGAGTGAGAGTGATGTCATTATCTGCAACTTACTTTCAAACAATTCAGCAAAAATACAGATAAAGCAAACATGACAAAATGTTTAAAAGTCTAAGTGAAATGTATATGAATATTGCACATCCTATGCTTTCGCTTTTCTATAGGTTTGAAATTTTTCACAGTAAAATTTGAGGGAAAAGGTATTTTATACGTTTGTCAAATATTAAATAGTACAAAATATAACAAAAGCATGTTCCATTTATAACTGCTTTAATCTACCTCAAGATGGCATGAAATACAACTTCAAATGTAGAAAAACTTAACAGAGTTCAATCAAATTTTTATGTTGCAGAACAATAATACTACATATAGAAATTAGGATTCCTGATAAAAATCTGATTTAAAAAAAAAAAAAGCTAAGATTTATCACAGGCATTACCCAAATAGTATGCAAAAATTTCTTCACTTTCTTCTACATTGTAAAAGTTACTGTTTACAAAGAATATCAATACAAAACTACTTATAGTCAACTCTGGATTTTCCATGAGATTATTTATTATAGGCAAAGTCTTTTTTTTTTCTTTTTTTGTCTACTATTTTCAATCTACACAAAACATCTTACTAGAGTGATTAACATTACAGATATATTAACTAATCATTTCCCTCCTCCTATGTATCATGAGTAACCTACTTTAAAATCTACCATGCTTCTGTCATACTGAATTGTTTGAAAGTAAGTTGCAGATAATGACATCACTCTCACTCTAAAATACTTCATTAATCTTGTGCTAAGCATAAGGACATTTCCTGTATCCTAACTGGTGTCTCTGCTCCCAGTCTAAATAATTTTGCAGTGCTGCAGGCTGAACCCACAACCTTGTGTAGACTAGGCAAACTGTCTACCACTGAGCTATGTTCCCAGTCCCTCAAAAATCTTTAATGATTATTTATTACCTCCCAGACAAATCTCAAACTTTGTAAGCTGGTATTTGCAGTTTTTACAATCTATTACTCATCTTCCTTTTTAGGCTTATTTCCTATTATCTGTAGATAATCTCTACTTTAGACAGAATGGTCTAATTGTCCTTCTAATTTATCATGCTATCCTAGATGACTTGTCCTAGAATGTTTATATCATCTTCCTAATACCTCTTCTCCCTTTAAAAGTCATTTTAAATTGTTTCATTTCTAGATTTTACAGCTTAACAAATGTACCCCATATTTGAAAATATTAACCAAAATAATCCCAAAATTACTTTTAAGAGTGAAAAATCTGAAACAAACTTTTAAATAAGAATGGTTAATAAGACAGATCCAGGGGGTTTCTAGTACTGTTGATAACTGCTAGTCTTGGCTATACGTAGGCATTACTTGGTGCAAAAAGCCTGAGTAGCATGTGCATTAATGAATTGGTAGAGGCTGCTTATGTTTAATTTGTTAATTGCCTCAGGATATCTTTTTAAAAATAAGCTGTTATAAGAGAACAGAAGGGAAATCTGCTACCTAATATATACAGAGTGTGAACCTCATAGGGGACTTCCGACATAGCCTCATGTAAGGAGAAGAATAAAGGAAAGGAGTGGTTAAGGGCATCTAGGAATTTAACTACTCCCATAGGAAAGGAATTGGCTGACCTTGGGCCAGTGGGTTTTTAGCTGAATTTTACCTGCCTTTCTCACCCAGTAAATCAATCCCTGTACTTGTTTTCCTCTTTGAACAAGTCTTGGTTACCTAATTCTGCTTTATTGTAACTTTAAAAATGAAAGTTTTTGCTCTAAATTCATGGCAGGTACCTTACTCTTTGCTTGAATAAAATCATTCCATATCAGACTTGCCTTTGGTTTACTATAGATAATAGGCTTTAAGGTGGTTTTTGTTTTTTTGTGTATTAATATATTTTGCATGTTTAAACATGTGTTTAAGTATAATTTTAAAATTTTAAATAGAATTGCAGGGTATTTAATTACGTAAAAATGTTTATGATGTACTGTTAAGAAGAAAGTTTTCAAATTAACAAAGTATGATCCCAATTTTCTAACTTAATATATACACATACTTGCAAAAACACTGTAGGGTATTAACAACAATATTAATAGTAGTTGAGTTCAAAGGACAGAACTAAAGGCATTTTAAATTTTTGCTAGCCTGTGCTTTCCTAAATTTTTCAAATGTTCTCCTAGAAAGTGAATTACTTTGTTAATCAGAGATAATATGTAAAAAGCACTAATATTATTAGCTTCAGCCTTATACCTACCTCTACCATGAATCTTTTTGTTTTTCTCACCTACAGAGAACTAGCCTTCCTTTGAACTTGGAATGCTGATTATCTGTATCAGTAGTCTACAAACATTTTGATCATATACCCATCAGCTTAAAAACTTTAAGCAAAAATATTTAAGCAAATACATTTATATATTATACAGGGTACCACTATGTTATTACATTATGTGCAATATAAAACTAAGCTAAATGTAAATCGAAAAGATGAGAAAGAAGACTTTTAAAAATATTTTTATTAGTTAATGTATAAAATCTTTCTATTCTCATTTTAATTGAGAACAGTGTGACCTGCTATGCCGTGTCAAAAATCTTCATACTTTATGAAAGTGATTCAGATATATGGTTCTCAGTTCCATTTATTTTAATGCCTGGGTTTAAAGCCTGCTGTAGGTAAAAAGAGTATCACACACATGTATATGAAA